TCCTGCCCCAACTCAACAAAATGTTGGAAGTCAGATGCCACGATTTAGAGGCAATTCCTAACTGTCACTTTCCAAGGTAGATAAGCAAAATTTACACACCCAACCTGCAAACCTAAAAGACCAAAACCTGCACTGAAGACCAGGTGTAACAGCATTCCTGGAGATCTCCCAAGGGAACATGTATTTGCACTCCTTTTGTCTGAAAAAGTGGATTTTGGTTCACAAAAGCTCATGCTGAAATAAATCCATTAGTCTTTAAAGTGCCACAATCTTCTACCTTGTCTTTCTCCCACTCCTCCTCTAATTCTGCCAACATCTTAAAAGTGTGATTCAATTCACAAACAATGTGCACATTTCCTATATTCTTTGCCTTGAAAGAAAGAGTAACATTGTGCAGGATTTTTTTGGTTCATTTGTTTGCTTTTATCTTTTGGGTTCTTCTTCTTGTTTTCCTGTCACATCCACAAATTTGGTAGTGGGGCAGAGTTATGGCCTTTAGAGAATCTAGGGTTCCAATGCAGGCTCCTGATCCTGCCCAATCATGCTCTACAGCAGTGGTTCCCAACCTTTTTTGAGAGATGGCCCCCTTTTATAACAACCAACTAACCCACAACCCTCACCACCATCTTTGCATAAAAAGCATTTTAATAGGGTAAAGAAAACACATCAAGAATACGTTTTTCAGAATATAATTCCAACCTAATAGAGGCTTCTTTTTCCCCCAAAGGGCCTGTTTCTCATACATACACATACAGAGTAACGTTTCTCATACATACACATACACAGTAACTCTCACTCTGATAGGTCAAGGAAGAAATTATTTAACAAGGCCTACAACACATATAAGGCACCACCTCCCAGAAAACACTTTATAACCCTCTTGGGTGTTATAACCCGCAAATTGGGAACACTACTCTATAGAATAAGTATAAATATTCTGGCATACAAATATTAAGAGCTACATTAAATTAAAATGGTTTTTAAAATTTAAATAATCTTAAGAGCTACATTAAATTAAAATGGTTTTAAAAATTTAAATAATCAAAATATATATTTTTTATTTAAATCAGTTTGATTTAAGTCAATCCACTATCAATTTGATTTAAGTCAAATCCACTCTGTTTAGTATTTATTTGTTTGTTTGTTTATTTATTTATTTGATTTGTATCCCGCCCATCTGGTCTATGCGACCACTCTGAGCAAGTTAAGTGCAATCTAAATGTACTTCCATGGCAGTTCTAATTTACATTAACTATTAATGAAACTTGAACTTTACATTCGCAAGCTACATATTAATTTAAACCGAAAATTCTAAAAATCCAAGCCTCCTGGCTCTGCTGTACCAAGGAAGCAGAATGTAAAAAATGGTGTGGGATCTATAAATGATCTCACGTGCAATTTCTACATAGGCATCTCTGAGATCAACTGTACTGCATTAAAGTAGAAGCTATTGTGAAGATTAAGGACAATGTATCCGACATACCTTGACTAGTCTGGTATGAATTCAGTTTATTTTTTGTACTCCAGCCGCAACATTTAAATACAAAATTTTGTAAACAAAGTGCTGGTCTCACCAGCAATGAAGCAATAGTTTCAATCCCAGTCATAATTTCAGTAAAGAATCTTCTGAATAAGAAAGATGCCTGCCCTTCTTGTACACTAATACTTGCTGCATTCAGGCATAACTATAAACTACAGTTTATCATGAGAGGAAGAAGCTGGACTAACATATGAATTTTCCCTCCCCATTTGCCCCGTGTCATAACTATGATGAGATCAGAAGCTTCTAGGTAGATTTAAATACTGTAACTACAGGCTGACACTACATCAGAACCCTAAAGTGTAATTAATCATTGTTGTTATATGCTGTCAAGTTCCTTCTGACTTCTGGTGACCCGAACAGAGTTTTCAAAGTACTGTATGTGAAATGTCCAACAAGTGATTTAAGATTGACAGTTCCAGTGAGCTTCCACAGCCGAAAGGGGATTTGAACCAGGTCTCCCAAGTCCTAGTCTCACACTCTGCCCTCTACATCAGTGGTTCTTAATCTTGGGTTACTCAGGTGTTTTTGGACTGAAGCCTTCGCCAGAAGCCTTCGCCACCAGCTGTTCTGACTGGGGTTTCTGGGAGTTGCAGTTCAAAAACACCTGAGTAACCCAAGGATAAGAACCACTGCTCTACATCACACTGGCTCTCAACTTATCATAAGTACAGCTTATTAAAATAACTAATTTTATAATGCACAACTTATAGAGCACCTGTTTCAAACAACAATAATGATATTTACAAATATTAACAACAATTTAAGGTGCAAAATTATAGCATGTTACTCAACAGCATAAAGAATACTGGGGCTAAGGACAAACTAGGTATGACAGAGGCATCATTCAAATGTCCCTTCATTTGTATGTAGGGAAGTGGATGTGGTTTTACTTTAACAGCAACAAGAACATATCAATGAGAATTGAAATACCTTACCCTAAAATTTCTTCACAGTCCACCATTTCAGACATGATTCTCTTTTCTAAACTCCACCATTAAAGGTGAACACAAAACAGAGAAAATAGTATACTATGGGATCTAAATCATCTTTGGAAAAATCAGCCCCCTATACACACACCATTTTATAGCTGAATAGACCAGGCATGTGAAAAGAAAGACAAATCTGCCAAAATCTAACCTAGTTCAGCCAAACCAGGATAAATTGTCCGTAACTTTCCTTTAATAGAAAAATTAAACCTTTTTCACAGAAGGTTGAACTTATAAGAATTACAATGTTGAACAAAAGGGGAGAGAGATTTCGGAACCAAATCATGGCAGGGAAATATGTGTACTACAAAAAGTTGTTTTAAACATTTGCTTTCGCTTTCCTGTTTGTTTTTTTAATCTAACAAAAACATATCAAATTCTGACACTGTGTATTTTTCAGATTCTTATTGTGATTAGAGAACAGCATGTCAGTAGCTAACAAATTCTGGCTGGCCTGTGAGACAAGAAAGAATCAGAATTCTGCCCTTCTCCCCTGCAGCCCAGAATGGAGGGGCCTGTCTCTTATGTGTCCTGGCAACTATCAAATTGCAGTAATATCTGCAGCAGTATTTCAAGGACTCCTCTACTCAGCTCCAAGTTCCTCACTCTTCTCAGAAAATAACAGCACAATCACCATGGCTAGAAAGTTGTAGCCCAATGGTGCTGGTGCTGGTGCTGGTGCTACTTAGAAGTAGTTTACCATTCCCTTCTAGGACTGTGCAGCTTGCTCAAGACTATCCAGGCTGGCTCTTCGCCTGGGATGCACAGGACAGAACTCAGCCTCTTGCTCCACAGACAGATAACTAACTTACTGAGCTATCCAGTCAGTTCAGTGCATACTGTTCAATGGAAAGGTCACAATAAATACAGAGTCAAGATAAGCAAATATTCTACACTTGGTGTGGCACTTCCTGGGCATAATTATAAAGTTTCAAGCAACTTTCAACAATAGAACTGAACATCCTATTTCATTAGTATTCATTAACCATATCTTAAAAACATTGACCTTTAGCATACTATTTAACAAATATCATTTTATTTATTATCTTTATCTCTCACCTTTCCTCAAAGGAGCTCAAAGGGGGCCACACCCACCCTTTACCTTCGCAGGTCAAGAAACTGGAAAGCATCAGATGTAGATTTCAATATTACTTTTATTTATTAATTGATTTGATTTGATTTATACACCACCCCATTAGTGCAAGCACTACACCCAGTGGTTTAATTAAGACTAAAACTTACAATAAGGGGGGGGGAGCATTAGCTGTCTTCATCCCCACATGACTAGAGATTACTCTCAACCCACAACGCCATCCAGTTTTGCCTCTAAGTGACACCCAAGCATTCACTCTGCCCACCCGAAGATCCTACAGGCAAATGTCCCTTTCCCTTGAACAGTAGGCATCAAGAGGTGTCACTCTAGCCACACCTTGCACTTCTCCGATCTACACTTCGGGGGGGGGGGGGGAAACACCTGCAACAGCAGCAAAACCGCACACCCATCAAAGTAATGGAATGCCGAACATTCACCATCCCACTGCTCTTAATTCGAAAAGATAAAACTGCATAGATGTACACTATGGCTGCAAACTTGGATACATTCCCTGTGAGGAAGAAGACCCCCTGAAGTGAATGGGACTTCCTTCTCAACGGAGGTGGGCAGGAAGCTTATGTGGAAGGTGGAAGATGCTCTATTTTGTACGCACTGCACACTAATACCTTCACGCGCAAAGAGCAATGCTGCCCTGCCGTCTATGGCAATAATCAAGATTAGCAGTTTCGGGACAAATCAGTTCCAAGAGCAAACAGCTCAAACGCCTGCAACGGAGGAGCACGCAGGACAAGCTTCGGGCCTCGAAGGGGGCGTGTGCGCAAAGGATCGCCGGCGGCGGGCGCGCCTTCGGGGGCCGGGGAACCAGGCAACGGGGCTACGGAGCACCCGGCTCCGTTCCTTTTCCGTTCTGGCCTTCGTAAGACACCCCCGACGGCCGGACACAATGTACCAGTTGCTGGGGAGGCGTCTGGAGCCACTGGCCTCATGGCCTAGCTAGGCTCACCACCGCGGAAGCCCCAGCGAGCACAGCGTTGAGGTTCCTGTCGTCCTCTTTTCTTCGAGCGCAAAGATTCCAGCTTGCTACCCGCCCAACATCCCTGCCGGGAAAGGGGCCACGGAAGGATGGCAGGTAACCCGTGAAGAGCCTCGGCGGATGGAAGGAGTGCTAGGNGCAAAGCCCAGCCTCTCCCGGCGAGGTCCTCGCAGACCCGACTGACCTGGCTGGGAAGAGCCGCCCGGGCGCAGGCGGCGGAGCGCCTGGTGCAGGACGACGCAGACGCCGATCCAGTAGACCCGCAGGGCAGGCAGGGCCGCGGACAATAGCGACATGGCTGCCTGGCGGCGGCGGCGGCAACTCGGCTCCTGCGCCCCCCAAAGCCCAGCCTCTCCCGGCGAGGTCCTCGCAGACCCGACTGACCTGGCTGGGAAGAGCCGCCCGGGCGCAGGCGGCGGAGCGCCTGGTGCAGGACGACGCAGACGCCGATCCAGTAGACCCGCAGGGCAGGCAGGGCCGCGGACAATAGCGACATGGCTGCCTGGCGGCGGCGGCGGCAACTCGGCTCCTGCGCCCCCGCCCTCGCCTCCTTGTCCTCTTCTGCTCTCGGGGAGGAGAGAGAGAGACGGAGAACCACCCCGAGCAAGAGGCGGAGAAGCGGCACGCCTTCTGGGCAGCCAAGAGAGAGCGGGCGCCGCCTCGGGAGCCCCACCCAAGCGGAACAGGAAAAGGGACGCGGCCGCCGCCTCGCCTCGCCTCGCCTCCTCCTCCTCGCCGGGCTGGGGCGCGGGTGGTTCGAAAGCCGTCCCTTGCCCGTCCGCCCCCCGCCCCGGGTGGAGCCTGCGAGGCGGCCAGGGGAGAAGCCTCGCGGAAGCAAACAAGCCAAAAGGAGAGGTACATACCACTGTATATGCCCCTTTGAACTGGCATTTACGGAGCAGGTTTCCCTAAGTAGGCTCCGGCAATAAAATTCCGCATTGTAGCCCGGCGAGGGTTTGAAGGGAGGGCGCTCCCCAGAACCGATGGCTCTTAAGTGGAAGAACTACACAGGGGTCATGGTATACCTACGACTCTGGTTCAATTAGTCGGAAGTCCGTTGTGTTAAAAGGAATTTGGCGCAAGGGAAGTGAGTGTGAGGTTGAAGCTTAAAAATATTAAAACAGAAAATAATAAAGTATTTTTTTAAAAAAATTGACTAAATAAGATATTAAAGAAACTGCAACAATTAGAAGATTAGATTCTGCCTACAACTACTAAGGGCAGGCGTGCAGTATATTGTCCACTATTTTGGCAATACAACCATAGTGTCACGGCTCTCCTTCAAGACCTTTCTCTTCAGGCAGAGTCCTTAATGTCTGATGGTCTGAGAGGGGGTTCAAATGGATTGTTGAGATCCATTGTTTTAAATGTGTTTTAATAGTTATCATTTTAATATAATAGTTGTTTCATTATTTTTTAATATTTGTATAGTTGTTTTTAGCCTTTCAATATGTAATCCGCCTTGGGTCCTTTTGGGGAGAAAGGGGGGATAGAAATATTTTAAATAATTTGGAAAAAAAAACTTATTTTAAAAAACTTGCCAATTTAAGACTAGGCTGTCTTAAGTCTGTGCAATTTAACACAGCTTGGAAAATAAATTGACAACAATTTTTCAGTACCTCAGGTAAGAGTTTTACCAACCCTTCCCAAATGTTATTGGTGGAGGGGGCAGCAGTTCCCTTTGGCTACGAATGACAGAGGCTGAAACCTGCAGCCTTTGTCCTCCCAAAATTGGCAGTGAGGTCTGTCATCCAGAGTACAGGTAGCCAATGGACTAGGAAAGGATGGGCATTCCTGACCCTGCTCATGAGCTATCATCACCTTTTTAGAAGTTCGTTCAGTAACAAAAAGACAGAGAGTGACATAATACGCTATAATGGTGGCTCAATGTAAGTCAAAGTTGCATGACTATGGCCCTCCAGATGTTTTTAATCTACAAGTCCCAGCCTGCGTAGCCAATGCTTTCATGGTGTCACTCAAATACTGCCACAAAAACAATACAGTCTTGTAGGACCTTAAAGGCTTAAAAGTTTCATTTGGCATGAACTCACGTGAGCTGCAGCCCACATCTTCACAGTGTTTGTTGGTGTTTCTGCAACAGACTAATGCAACTATGCCACTGAAAATGAGAACATCCAGAGGACCAGTGCTGCCTCTTCCTGCTATATGTGCATTGACTGCCTACTCTTGTAGATCATTGGCTATAAACCGCTCTGAAACTACATTCTGCTGCTTGCATGGTCATTAACAGTCATGTTTTCCCTTTTGCAAACAGGACTCTTAGCAAAGGTATGTATATTTGGAATGCACATTTGGAAGAGCACATTTGGAAGAGCAGGTGCTCGTAACAGTGTCCACAGCTACTAGCCTCATAAGTAGAGTCCAAACATGCAGAACACTGCATTGCTTCATATCAACAACTGAGAAGCAAGTCTTTTGTAAAATCAATGGCTCTAAATTGTCCATTCAAAGCTATATCACACCAAAATACTTTACATCACAACAGGGAGTACTTACAAAACAGTTAGCAAAAATCTGTTCCTCTTCCAACTCCTGAGTGGGTGCAGCTAGGTTAAGAGTGAACAGAGAAACTCTTGGGGCTGTATGTGATGTCATCGTTCCTGCTGCTCAGAAGGTCCCTGTACTGCTGGCCTCATGAACCTTTGTTCCAGTATGCAACTGCCTCCTAATGCTCTCCCACCATGGTCCTCACATGCTGTCCGCTTGTTATCTGACAAATCAAAATTCCCAATTTCTGCCATCTTTTGCTCCACCATTCCCAGAGAAAAGTGTAACTCTCTTGTTTATTATTCAGACCACAAAGTGTACCACCCTGTTCCTGTTGACAGCTGGAACTGGAATTACCTCTTTCTGCAGTGCTTTGGGTGCTTATGGTGTGGCTGCAGCCTTTCCCACCATTTCCAGAGGAGCACACTCTGCTCTTTGCTGCCTGACAGCCAGACCAAACAAAGTGTATTTCACTCTCTTCCTGTCAACATGAAAAATTGACAAATGATCCTTCTACTGAAGTTATTTAAAAGAATCCTATATCCGTGTATGTAGCTTTTGAAGTTGAAAAAAACAAAGCATTAAAAAGAAAGACATTGTGGCGTATAACTGCTATATTTTAAGGAAACTGTCCGCTTCTGATTTCATTTTGGGGTGGTGATAAAAAAATCTGGAAGCAGCCCTGTAGGCTGAAAACTGTCTTTCGAATCCCTCAGATTTGCACACCTGATGTACAAAGTTATGTTGAAATTGTGCTCAAGAAAAACATTTGATTGAGTTCAAGGTTTTCACTCCAAGCTAAGTGCAGCACTATATACTCATTAGTGGCTTTGTAGGGTTGTACATGCTTTATGGCTTACGCATGCTCCGTTGGTGACTTGTACATGCCCCGTTTTGTTTATGCTTTATGTCATTTAAATAAAATTTAGAAGAGGGATAATAAAATTAAGTGTAGAACTGCATCCTAAGTCACCAAAGATCAGCAATCTAGAAATCCATTTGAAATAACTATGCTCTGAAATGAACTCTAGAATTGTATTTTTTTTTTCATTTTATATATTAGTGCTATGTCTCGTAAAGAGGCTTATCCATGATTTATACTTAAAAGCCTCCATTTTTTAAATAAAAAAGTCAAAAAATTTTGACTGCTTTTTTAAAAAAAATCTCTCAGCTAGAATAATCTGGTTTTAAAATATAATTCTGAGTATATGAGCAATGTAACCTAAATTGTTTTTTCTGATTCAAACTCATTTATTATAAAACCATCTTGCATTATACAGTTGAAAATGTTTCGTTGCATGTACTCCCTGTATTTGGTACTGTTGCTTAGCTTAGCTTACCTCTCAGGAGATGCTATGTTTAGTTGCTGTCCTGCTATGCAGTACCTGAAAGGGTGCATTCTGTGTATGCTTCAAAATTGTGCTGTCTGTATGCTAATCTCTATATTTAACCTGAGACTTTGCCAGAGGCAGTGGGAAGGTGGTTGGGGGAAGAAAAGGAGCTGGGAATTGGAACACCTGAGCTTCTTGACTATGATTTTGGCTCCTGCTGCAGGTGTGTTAAAGTTGATACCCTGCCTCTGTGCAGCACAAAGTGCACACTTAGCATTGCACTCAGAAGCCACAGGAGGATTTGCATGTTGACAAGTATGAGTGGTGTGCCACCGGAAGGATTTTCAGGAGGACCCCCTTGCTATTGCTTCTTTTTTGTATTTCTTCTTCCCCTACACTTAATGCATCATAATCTTCCCTAAAACCTCCATCTCATCTTATTTTTATTGTGGTACTATTGCCAGTTGCTGCCAACTCTCTCTTATGTACCTGAGGAGCGGTTGTTAACTTGTATCTTTATCTGCTTATGGAGAGATACGGTATGTTTTTATGGGAGGGAGACTAGTGGAGGGAATCAAGAAGCAGCAATCATCATTGTTCAGGGCAGGGGAAGATGTGGTGGGGGACGGCAGCTACAGCATTGTGTAAAAGGGAAGGGTGAGTGAGTATTGGTTGTCTCTAAGCTATCTCCAAATTTAAATAGTTTGGATGGCCTTGGCATCAGGTCCCCTGGGCTGATTCTGTTGAAGCCCTGGTTGAGCTCTGGACATGATCACTACGAAGCGTCCCCTCCTGTGAAGTAGAGTCAAAATGTCCCCATGATTTGTTAGGACGTTGATGGAGCAGAAATAGGTGGAATGGAGACTATAGCAATGATGGTGGAAAACTCAGAGTGAATCTGACCAAACACACGCTAGGGCCCATTGGAAGGCCTACTCTGTGACATTAGCGGCAGGGAAGAGGTCATTCATCTGCACAGAGTCATCTGGCACAGCTCTTTCAAGTGGTCAAGGGCCTATTACATGCTGGCCCGAAGGAAGAGAACAGAGACCATACTATAGCCTACTGTGAAGAACCTGCAAAACACTTTGCAGACAAAATTGCTTGGATTTGGCTGCTGTCGTTTATACAGGTCTTGTGAATGAAAGCCCCCTATGTATCCTGTGTCAATGGGTAAGTTTCAGTTTCTACAACTGGGTGATGTGGACAGGACCCTTGGAGAAGTAAAGGCTACCTACCACATACCTCTTGGACCCTTGCTCTTCCTTGCTTATAAAATCTGCTAGAGAGGGACTGGCTGATTGGCTAGGAGGAGTGGGGAATGTCTCCTTGCAGCAGGGTAGGATCTCAGCATACTTAGAGGAGGCAGTAATAAGACCATGGTTGGAAAAGCCCCCTCCTTGGATCCCACAGTATTGGATAATTACTGCTCAGTCTCTAATGTTCCATTCTTGGGCAAGATGCTAAAGCAGGCCATGGCTTCTCAGCTCCAGGAATTCCTAGATGAGACAGATAAATCTACACTTCCCCCTTGAATTGCATGGGTTTGTACAACACAATTTTGGTTATAAATAATTTTTTTCAGTTAATTGTTGGTGCTTTCTAGTTACATTTTTGAGGCATAAGCAAGGCTTGAAAATTTTTACAATGTCTCACCACTCAGTCAAAAATTTTACCAGTCAGCATGACCGGACTATAGCCTTGCAATTTATGTTTAAATTTAAATTTAAACTAGGCGCTTCCTACATAACAATGCGTACAAACCCAAAATAAATATTCCCTCAGACTCGAGTTGCTTTATTACCTGCATGCCTGAAGCTTGTATTTTGAATGCCTTTCTTTTGAATGTTTCCAGTAAAAATAAAACTGAAAGCAAAAGCATCCAGTCTCTTAAGGTGCCAGGTTGTTTGGTTGAAATTGGGAGCAGGGAATCTCCATATTCTCCAGCATAGGACTACTCTACATTCTCCTGCAGAGCTATATACTGTACTGTATCTATGTGCCGCTCAAACTCTC